TCCCCATTCGCAGCTCGTGTCCGAGTGTGTTGAGCAATTGAGCCGCATGTTTAAGGTATATGCCACTTCTTCATCTTTTGGATTTCCTCAGGTTAGGTATTCCATTTAGGAAAGCAACATAATTTGGCCTGCCTAAATGGTGACCATGACCTTCAATTTGAAAATGGATGACTGTTGCTCCACATTGGACATTCCATTTTTTCTTGCTTGCTATCCAATTGCATGTTGCTTAAAATTTGTTTTCGTTTTGTTTTAACAAGTTATCGATGTCCTAGGGATCGGTTTGCTAGTAGAATATCTCCAACTGTTATCACTTGTTGTCTGCTCCTTCAAAAAAAAAAATTCGGGAAAGAAGGATAAGTGTGATTTACCCTCTTAGTTTTGCATTTATGGTGCATGATTGACTTTTGAAGGTTGAATTATACTGAGCCTGTTGCTCGACTAGCCATCTAATATAAGCTGCGAGAATGAAATCTTTCAGTTTCTTTATTAGATTTATTTTTTTCTGTACCTTTTTTCCCCTGTTATTTTCCGTTTCTTACCTACTAATATGACAGAGGGGGGCAACAGGAGGATGTTGACTTCTCTGTGACCTGCTATCCTTTTTTTTAAAAAAAACTCTCTTCATCAAAATGTTAAATGAAAAGAGGGTTATTTCAGTCCAACATGGAGTGACCTTTTTGAGGGAAAGCAAGCATATAATCCCTCCCCTCCTCCCACCCCACACCCCCAAGTTGCCTGGGAAGGATGTCTGCGAAGGAAATACTGAAAATATCATTTTGTCCGTGACCTCTAGTTTGTTATATATGTGTATATTTTCTTTAGTGCCAAGCATGTTCACCGCCTCAAAACTATGAGGTATATAGTAGGATATGTGGAGTGCTGATAATTCTGTACTTTGAGGTGTAAAATTTGTAACCGAAGATTGCCAATATCTTATCATATTCTCTTTGCAAGTGTCTTCTCCGCCTCCCAAATAGTTTTATCCTGAAATATAGTTATGGGCTCTATTTGGAGAGAGATGTTTGTTTGTGTATTCTAATTGTTGAATTTTTCTATTTTACCTATCCTAAAATTATAAAACTTGTGTGTAGCCTGATTTCAAAGCAATCAAAAAGCGGATTGAAGATCTTATCACTCGGGACTACTTGGAAAGAGACAAAGAGAACCCAAACTTGTTCAAGTACTTGGCCTGAGGCAACAAGCTGATACCTGGGTGATATTGAATGCTCTTGGCACTATTGAAGTGTGAGTACAGCTGGGTTTTGATTATTAGCTAAGGACAATAGCAGAGAATTTTTTTGACCTTGCCTGAGTAGGCAACTTGTGCAGTTGTTAGAATATCACCACCTTTTTTCAGAAGTTGGCGGCACTTGAATTCCTTGCAGTATATATTTCAGCCGTGCACTATTATTTCCTCATGTTCCTGATTGTCATGTCATTTAAATGCCGCATCTTTTTGTAAATTCTATGCTTTGGTGTTTCTAGACGTGCAATACTTTCCCTGGATTTATAAATGGTTCAATGTGGACATAATATCTTAACCTGTTCATGGCCTCGCCAGTTTCCTTTTTGAAGAATAAATTTCAAATAACAAGAACTATTCACTTCATTGTAAGGTGTTTTCATAAGTTTTCCCATATCTTATTGCCTGACTTAGAATTAATGTTGAGAAAATTTTATCATTTGTTCAACTTGCCTGGTTGGTACAAAGTTTAAGAAAGACTTTTGGTACCTGCCACCTATCGTTAGAAATTGTGGTCTTGGATATTGTCAATGACATTTCTATGGCTACAAGAGCATGTCATTAATGGTAAAACCAGTTGTTTACTGATGTAGAGTTTCCAAGTATTAGAAGTTGCTAGTCCTTCTTGGAGCAAACTAAAAGGAATGAGCGGAGTTTTTCCCCTACCCTCTGCCTTCCAATTATTAAAAGTTGTTAATCCTTCTTGTGCGTAAGTATGAGCCGGATATTTGATTGTACCATTCGAGAAACGTATAGCAACTCTCATAACTCCATCGATCAATTCTTATTTTTCTTTTCTCTTGATTGATATTTTCCGATCGAAAATGTGCCAAGTTTTTATTTGCCTCAGTCTTTTTAAGAATATCACATGCCCAAAAGAGACGAAAATAAAAAGAAACGAAAATAAAGAGCATTATTGAGTTGTTTCTTTTGAATTTGTTAAAATTTTATGTTTGTGGAGTTTTCTTCTTTTGTGTACACATCATTGCAGCAACAAGCCTTTTTGGTGGGTCCAATCTTCTGGACCTTTTTATTGAAAAAATATCGTTTTATATCCCTATTGGCTGCTCTTGCTCTTCTTCATAAGGTCCAAAACTTACTAACCCCTCAATGAAAGAACAAAAAAAGAACATAATTTGTAAGATCTTTCACTATAATATGCAAGTTTTACTTATTTTTAAGTGCAAGAATGGAAATATTTCATGCGAACAAGCTAAAACAAGGAGAGCATCAGTTGTGCGGAAAATATACGTGGAGTTTGAAGTAGTGTTGCTCGAGGTGCAAATGGAATTAGCTTTTTATAAGACTTCGAATATCAACAACTGACTCAATAAAATCCCACAATGGGATTTGGGGATGGTAGTGTGTACGCAGACCTTACCCCTACCCCAATGAAATAAAGAGTTTGTATCCGAAAGACCCTCAAGTGTATTACTAAAATTCTTTGATTACCATGACACCCTTTTGCGGGAAAAATACACTCTGTAGATAGGTAAAAAAATAAATTATATGTATATATACTATGTATTGACTCCCCTTAATTTTCTGGTATATTTACTTTTATAACGAAAATTCTGCGTTCGCCATTGATTGTGGATCAGTCAAACAAAGAAGTTATGGGAGTAGTTATTATAGGTTAATGTTAAGATGTGTTGGTGGCGCCTGAGACCTTAAGGGAAAAACATTTGAGATGTGTCAATAGGAAAAGATAAGTTCAGATAAATTATTCATAAAAAAAGCGACTGTTTCGTTAAGATTAATCTTTTTGTTTCCTGTTGGGAGAAAGCCTGCAATGTGGTCCTGAACAAACTGTGAGTACCTTTTAATTGTCAAAGTAACAGCGTCAGAAAAAGAAAAATACCCACTATGCAATTTCTCAAATCTATACTGCAGATCCCATTATGATCCCAACCACAACAGCCATTGCCAGCTACAAATAACAATTTGGCATTTAATTTGGGTCATTTCAATCATTGCCCCCATAACACTTCTATGTTGGAGCAATACTGAGTCGGACCACTCCATGTTTCATCCCCATGCTTTGATGCGGTAGATAACACGGAGGGGGATTCAAAATTTAAACTTTATGAGTTCAACCTTCAAAGTTCATAGCATTAACTATTAAATTCATTGTCTAGACCTACTATTTATTGCAATTTTATCATTATTACACATAAATTTAAGTTCCGTATTGAAAGTACAGGGTTCAGATGAACCAGGTGACAAAACTCTAGATATACCCCTGAGATAATACACTATCAATATAGTTTAATTTGCGATAAATTATTAAGTGACACATGTTATAGAGATTTCGGCAAAGGGCCAAATATACCCCTGTACTATGAGAAAATGTTTAAATATACACTTCGTTATACTTTTGGTCCAAATATACCCCTGCCGTAAATCATAATACTATTGGTTCAAATATACCCCTCTTCAGTTAAGTTTGTCCAAAGTGGATATCCAATCCTACGTGACACTGACATTTGATGAGGCGGATGCCACATGGCATGCCACCTAACGCCTTTAATCCATATATAAAAGATTAAAATTTGGAAAACAATATTTTTCATGGCAACAGTAATGGTGGCAATAGCGGTGGAGGGGAAGAAAATTTTAGTGGTGAAAAAAATATATAAGGGAGGGGTAAAATGGGTTAGGGGTGCTGAGATGGCAAGCCATATGGCATCACCTCATCAAATGTCAGTGCCACGTAGGATTGGATGTCCACTTTAGACAAACTTAACGGAAGAGGAGCGTATTTGAACTAATAGTATAACGACATGGGTATATTTGGACTCAAAGTATAACTAGAGGTATATTTAAACCTTTTCTGGTAGTATAGGGGTATATTTGGCATTTTAACCAATAATTACCTTATTAGTGACATAACTAAATAAAAAAAATTACGTTGTGTGGCTCAAAGATGAAAATTAAAGCTTCTCATGATTTGATGAATGGCGATTATGTCATCAGCAAAGGACACAATGTTTGCATTCATTAAAATTACGCGTGCACGCTAGCAATGTCCCAGTTAGTCACCTGAAACATCATCTTCTAAGGGGTTTTCAGTAAATAAGACTGTTAAATTTAGCTTAAACTTGTACAGTATCACATGATAAAAGAAAAGGGTTGCGATAGACTAGCAGAGAGTAAAAAATTGTCAATCCTCATAAGCGACCCCTAACTTATTTGAGAGTTATTGTTGTTGTAAACTAATGGTTTCACATTTAAACAACTTTACTGCCCCATTACTAAACAGTCTTGAGTTTTGTCACAAATGAAGTCCAACATCTTTGATAAAAAACCAAAACATGCTGAAAAAAGTCACTCACACCACTTTTCCACCGTAAAGTAGCACTAAGAGGAACAATGTATCCTTTGACTTAACTAATTAAATGTACTTTAGACATTCATTTAGATTAACGTTAAGTTTTTATACTATCATGAACTTTAGCAACCTGAAAAATAAGCATGGCTGGCTAATAATCAGAGGCGGATCTACTTTTACCATTGAGGGATTACCGGACCTCGTAAACTTCGACAGAAATCTTATATATGTATGTGTGTATACCTTAAAATGATTATATAAATAGCTTGGTACCCTGAATACTAAAAAGCCGGCAGCGATAAAAAAATAATAGTGCTACGGTTGCATAAAAATTGTTGATCCGCCTCTTCTTGCTATCATGATTAAAATACACCTTTAGTGTATAATTTTAATGGTAATGGCTTTGTATGTGTTGATGAGACTTTCTCATTACTCAAGAGGGCCTGCTCTCTGCCCTTTTCTTCCATATTTGACACAAAAAGCACTCACCCAGAGAAGGGGAGAGAGAGATAAAATGCCAGCAAATAAAGTTGAGCTTAGTTTAGGACTTTGATGTGCTCTTACAATGAAAAGCTGTTGATCAAAACATATTAGTATTAGTTTTAAGGACTGATTGACACAGAGAATTTAATATAGTGGAATTTGCAGGCTGAAGCTGAAGTTTGAGGCTTTGTTTGTTTTGCTGAGAAGATGGGAGTAGTTACAGTTGCTGAACTGAAGACAAACATATCTGTGAAGAAGTCTAGAGGTCATCTTACTGAATGGTACTAATTTCTTTTCTTTCTCCTAATGACTTAATTAGTTCTCACCATATTTGGATATTTCTCATTAGTGCTGCACTAATTAGAACCAGTTAACAGGTTATGCAACAGTGCTGCATAGTGTAAATTAATAAATTTTCCAGAACCTTGGCGTAGCTGGTAAAGTTGCTCCCATGTGACTAGGAGGTTACTTGTTCGAGGCATGGAAACAACGTCTTGCAGAAATGCAGGTAAGACTGTGTACAATAGACCCTTGTGGTCCGGCCCTTCCCCGTACCCCTCGCACAACGGGAACTTAGTGCACCGGGCTGCCCTTAAAGGTGCAATAAACCACTTTCCAGATTTTAGCACCCAGATAGATGACCACAACTTATGGGTTATGACCGACCATATTTTGATCAGTAATATGACAGGACCTGACTTTTACAAAAATTGGAACAATTTTCCAGCTTTGGTATATGATTGTGATGACTCACATATGTATATCTATGCTATGTGTCGAAAATGTGTGGTTGAACCTGTAGACCAAAATCTGCATCTTCCTCTGAGTCAACGATCAAGCTGATCGTTTTCTTGTTTCAACATATGGTGTGGACAGCTATAGTTATGTCAATAATTTTCAGCTTAGCTTGTCTACCTTATGAGGGCCCCAAGCAAGTACATATGAGTCATATAATTAGCTGTTAGACTATGGTAAACCTTGCCATCACATACAACTAGGGATAGATTTCAAAGAATGAACCAGAAGATGATATACCACTCGCTAAATTGGATCTGAATGCAGAATACTAATGGTATTGTAGCTTAGTTTAAATTTTCAGCTTGTTTACCTTATGGCTATGTTGTTTGAAGCTTCAATTTAGTATCTAGATAACTTTCAGATCGAATCCAAATATTCCAGTCTTTTATTTTTGACATGTAACTTGTACATCTAGTGAACAAGTTGATTATCATTTTCGTTTCTTATTAAGACGATATTGTGCTATCGGAAACAACCTCTCTATCTGTATAAGGTAGGGGTAAGTTTTGCGTACATACCACCCTCCAGACCCCACTTATGGTATTACATTGGGTATTTTTTTTTTGTTGTTGTTGTGAAATTTTTTGTTGTTATTAAGACGATATTGTGCTATATCATGATTTCTCTTAGGTACAACTTTTCTCTTCAACAGCTTTTTAATATTGACCAAATTTACTGTGGCAGGCCAATATCTGATGTTTCTAGTGATCTTACAATAAAAGTAGGAGCTGCCAGTTTTGCTCTTCACAAGGTATGAATAATGTAGCACCAAAATTTGCTTTGCTCCTGTATTCTTGATATACTGATTCCCTTCATAAGTTATTTAACTACTCAAGTCTAGCAATAGCAACAGTCATGCCAACTAATGGTTGGTCCACAGATAGATTGGAAAGGACAATCATAAGTTTAGTTGTATAAGTTGTCGATCCACATAATTGCCGTCCTGTCTAGATGAAATAAAAGGGGAACCTTGGGGTAACTGACAAAGTTGCTGCCATGTGACCAGGAGGTCACGGGTTCGAGTTGTGGAAACAGTCTCTTGCAGAAATGCAGGGTAAGGCTGCGTACAATAGACCCTTGTGGTCCGCCCCTTCTTCAATAGGAAAATACCATACAAAAAAGAAGGAAAAATAAACCACTTGGACGTGTTTATAATGCATAGACTCTTTTTGCAGTTCCCTTTAGTATCTCGAAGTGGAAGGATAAGAAAGCTGCTGCTTGAGGCAAAAGATTCAAAGATGTCAAGACTGAATCTTCCTGATCTTCCAGGTGGATCTGAAGCATTCGAACTCGCTGCGAAGTTCTGTTATGGAGTGAACGTTGAGATTACCATATCAAATGTTGCAATGCTAAGATGTGCATCCAGTTTCCTGGAAATGACAGAATACATCTCCGATAAAAACCTGGAAATACGAACCGAAGTGTTCTTGAAGGACACAGTATTCCCAAACATATCCAACTCAGTGTCTGTTCTTCACAGCTGTGAGAAACTACTACCAATATCAGAAGAAATCAAACTCATAAGTAGGTTAATCAATGCTATTGCTAATAATGCTTGTAAAGAGCAACTTACATCTGGTTTTTTGAAATTGGAGCATAATTTCCCATCCAAACCTATTAAAAGCCTTGATATAGAGACAGCATCGGACTGGTGGGGCAAATCACTAATTATGCTGAACCTGGAATTGTTTCAGAGGGTTTTGTCTGCATTTAAAATAAAGGGTCTTAAACAAGATATTATAAGTAGAATCTTGATTAACTATGCCCGAAATTCTCTTCAGGGGTTCATTGTTAAGGATCCTAGTTTGGTTAAAGGAAGTTTCTTGGATTTGGATCTACAAAAGAAACAAAGGGTCACCGTGGAAACAATAGTTAGCTTGCTACCAACACCGTCGAGGAAAAGTACAGTCCCAATAGCCTTCCTTTCGAGTTTGTTAAAATCTGCAATAGTAGCATCAGCATCTACTTCTTGTAGATCTGATCTAGAAAGGCGCATTGGTCTACAACTGCATCAAGCAATTCTTGAGGATATTCTCATACCTGGAAATGGGAATGGAAACAACCATAGCCCTCTATATGACGCTGATTCAATCATAAGGATATTTTCCATTTTCTTAAATTTGGATGAGGATGATGTAGAAGATAACCAACTAAGAGATGAATGCGGAATGGTTTTTGACTTTGACAGCCCTGGATCTCCCAAACAAAGCTCAATTCTTAAGGTTTCAAAATTATTGGACAATTATCTAACAGAAGTCGCACTAGATTCAAATTTAACACCATTAAAGTTTACAGCACTGGCGGAGTTACTTCCAGACCATGGCCGTCTAGTTGATGATGGACTGTATCGAGCTGTAGATATTTTCCTCAAGGTAAGCTTTAATATGACTTTACTGTTATACTGGTGAAAAAAGTGTTTTGCTTACTGTTATAATGGATAAAGTTCAGTGATGATATGTGAAATAACTTGTCGTTCCTTTATAAGAATGAAATGACACATGTCCACAGTTCTGCAGGCTTAGTGAACATTTTCACGTGTTAGTGCGTTTGAATGCGATACATGAAATTTTTATCGCAGGTTCATCCGAACATTAAGGACTCAGAACGGTATAAACTCTGCAAAACTATTGATTGCCAGAAACTATCACAAGAAGGCTGCAGTCATGCTGCACAAAACGAGCGGCTGCCTGTACAAATGGCAGTTCAAGTGCTGTATTTTGAACAAATCAGGCTGAGAAATGCAATGAATGGGGGACAAAACCAGTTATTCTTTGGGTCAATGAACAGTCAGTTTCCTCATCGTTCAGGCAGTGGAATAGGAAGCGGATGCATTTCTCCGAGAGATAATTATGCGTCAGTGAGGAGAGAAAATAGAGAATTGAAGCTTGAGGTAACAAGAATGAGAATGAGGCTTACAGATTTAGAAAAAGATCATGTGTTTATGAAGCAGGAGCTAGTAAAACCACATCCTGCCAATAAGTTATTCAAGTCATTTACCAAGAAATTGAGTAAGCTCAATGCAATATTCCACATGAAAGATTCAAAGACAGTAGTGGGAAAAGCAAATTCAGAAAGTCGGTTTCCTTTTCAGAGGAGAAGACATCATTCAGTTTCTTGATGCTGTATTGAACTTGTGAATAAGAGTGTATAGCCCTTTTCTTTCTTCTTCTTTTGGAATTGTGATGTTTTTGTGATCTTAGACTAAATATTTCCTAGTTTAATATCTGTGTTGACTGAAGCTGCTTCCTTGTCTTTTGAGTGTAACTTTGAAAGTAAATACTCTAGCTTGTAAATCATACTTTATAGGTATACCTACCGTGTGAAAGTCCTCAGAGCCTTCCTGCACTCGACACTTTCTGATTACGCCCAACTCTACTCCTAAAAAAGATAAGCGGTCGCTGCAAATATAATCCGGTCTAAAAGTCCAAAATCAAATCCCACAGAGAACTAAGATTTTGCTGTAACTATTAAGTATCACTAAAAATACAAGCTCGAAAAATTTCTAATTTATAAGTATTATGATTATGTTTTCTTACTAATTAACTAGCAAATTAAAATATAAAACAACTAAAGATACTAAGATTTTGGGGACAAGATTAAGGAGGTCTAGAGTTATGATTTTCTCAATTGTCGGAATCCTTCCCGCTATGTCTTCTATAATTTCGCCTAAGTTTTTTCTACCAATCGTGAGTATTTCGGGTGTCGTAATTCTCTCTCGTGCAATTGCCACAATTTACTAGACATATTCTCTCGCACTACGCTAGCTGAAACTAATTCACCGCTCACTCCGATCACACCAAGGTTTCGTTATCTCTAATCCCGCCTTTAAACCCTCTGAATTGATCTCTCACAGACGTTAGGAGTGATGTTGTTCAAGAACTACCTAAATATATACCCTCTCTCAAGCAATACACACTAAATAGGCACAGTCAATTGATGGTCATTCAATCAACAACAGTAAACACGTAGTTGAACAAATAGCGAAATCTAACGGTTCAGTTATATAAAAACATAATGAGAATTTATTTTACAAAAGGTTCCATCAAAACCCTAGATAACAACTTAACTATTCGTAATAATATGCAAAACTACAATACTAGAATTTATAACCAATAATGAAAATAGGAAGAAGGAAGTGAAAAACTCGTGGAAGAACTTTCCGCCTTGCTCCTAACGTGTTCTTGCCTCCTTGGGTCGAATCCCTTCTCTAATGATGTCTTCCCTATATAACCCCAAAAAAACTAACTTTAAGGGGTATTTATAGGGTAGGGGGCGAATTCTACATGTCCAAAACTAATGAGGAATTAGAATTTGCTCGGATGGCATCGTCGGCGCGAGGCACTGTCTGTGGCACCATTGTTTCTACGCAAGGCACTGATTGGGGCACCAATGACAGTGCCCTGGACAATGCCTTGCACTATCTATGGCCATGACTTTTCATTGCCTTGTACTTCTTATTTTATTGCTCCATTTTGTAGCTCTGAGGTACCATTTCGTGCAACTTTTTTCCAATTCATGTCCAAGCATTCCTACACGTAAATTAAGCTCTATGAAGCGCAATTTTCACACAAATTAGCATCTAAACAACAAGCAAGTAAGGTAAATTATGTCAAAATATATGAAATAATCGCACGACATCACTTCCTATTGTGATTAAACTTCTAAAAGAAATACAATGGTGTACCTTGGAGATAACATCATAAATCTTCTTTTACCCGATCCATCTACAACAAAAAGTGATGATATACAACAACAATAAGCATAGTGTAATCATACTAGTAGGATCTAGGGAGGGTAATGTGTACGCAGACCTTATCCCTACCTTCAGAATGTAGAGAGGTTGTTTCCGATAGACACTCAGCTCAAAAAAAATGAAAAAAGAAGAAGCAATAGCAACAAACAGTAACATGAGCAAAATAACAAGATAGTCGAAACGGAAAGACCCAACAAATAGTGATAAAAATCTGAAAATACGAAAATACGGAAATACAAGACTAATACTGGTAAGGACAAGGAAGACGTACGACTATCTACTAATCTTTTATCGTAATTTTCGACCTCCACACCTCTTATCAAGGGTCGTGTCTTCGGTGAGGTGAAGCAGCGTCAAGTCCTGCCTAATCACCTCTCCCCAATATTTCTTTGGCATACCTCTACTGCTCCGTAGACCTCCCAAGGCCAACCACTCACACCTTCTTATTGAGGCATATGTGATTCTCCTCTTCACATGCCCGAACCATCTAATTGCTTCCCGCATCTTGTCCTCCACTGGGGCCACACCCATCTTGTTCCTAATATCTTCAGTCCTAATCTTAACTATCTTGGTATGTCCGCACATCCATCTCAACATCATTATTTCTGCAACCTTTATCTTCTGGACATATAAGTTCTTGACTGGCCAACACTACTCTACTTCATACAACTTAGTCAGTCTCGCCAAGGCACTGTAAACAGATGATATATGGTTTAGAAATATTACCATATTTCCTTAACATCCCTTTGGCAAACTTAAACTCAATTATGCATTTGAATGCAATTGAATGAGGTAAGAGAATATTTTACTTTTATATGGTCATATTCCTTTTGCAAGAAGTGTTGCTGGCTAGTGTCACTTAAGGAGCAACTCTACCGTTGCACCAAGGAAAATAAGTGAAATGCAAAAAAAATATTTTATATTATTTTGTCTTCCTGAAAATACTATAATTCATTAAAGAAATATACGCAAAAGTTTTTTTATTTTACTCCTTGAAGAATATTGCTTATATGATGCCGCAAATGGGAAAAAGAGACGATCGGGCTATTGAATGTGAGGACAGTTTTAGCTATGATATTTGAGAAATTTTATTTTATGTTTCACATGCCACATCATATATCATCATATCATCATACTATATTATAAGTGTGAAAACCAAAGTTGAGGATTAAATTACTAAAATATCCCTCAAAAATTAGTTGACCCTTTTGTCCTTGAAGAAAAAAAAATGACTTTTCATTAAATGATTACTTTTAGATTGAAACGGATGAATAATCTGAGATAATTATTCCATCTCTACCCATGTTATTGTAGGTGTAAATTTGCTTAGTTATTTCCCATAGTTATTTCCCATAGTTATTTCTTTTTCTTTTATCTTCCAAGTGATGTTTAAAGAAAGACTTGAAAAGTTGGGGGTGAAAGTTTTTAAAGTGGTGAATGTGCAACAATGCATGTCGTTGTTTCAAAGTCCAAGGAAATAGTGTTAAATGAGCACTTGCCATCTATGGTAATTAAGAATTGTGAGGGGCTGCCGTGGAGTTACTCGCATGTTGGAATAGAGTTAGCATTACATCACAAGAATTCACCTTTCAAGGAATTTTTCATAAAGCACCATCTTTTAAGTTTAATTAGTCATTTATAGATATCCTTTGCTATATTTATAGATACCTTTTATGTTTTTATACAATATATTTTATGTATTTAAGCTGTTGTATTCATTAATACAACCAAAAAAATAGGCGTAAAAACTGGAATTCCAGCTAAGTTTGACATGTATTTAGCTGTATTCAAGCGGCATTAACGTTAAATACAGAAGGTTAAACTGGTTAAAAACGGAAGAAAATCAAATCACATGATATTCTCCTAATTTAACTCCACGAACTAAGGAAATCAAATCACATGATATTCTCCTAATTTAACTCAACGAACTAAAACGATCCCTCATTAATCTGTATTTGAAAGATACATAATAAAGATTATAGCTGAATAAAGAGAAATACATATGAATAATACAGTTGAGTAGAATTGTATACAGTTGAATACAACAAAATACAACTTAATTCATCTGAATAAAACACTTGAATACAATAAAATACAACTGAATACAGCTGAATAAAACTCTTGAATGCAACAAAATACAATTAACTTCTGCTGAATAAAATAGTTAAATACAACTGATTAAAACTGAATACAAGAGAATACACATAACTTTTTAATACATCTAAAATATATAAATTAATGCTACTGAATACATGTGAATACAGCTGAAAAATACATTCGAATACAACTGAATACAAATAGGCGATTTGGGCGATCTAGAGAGAGAAACAACCTGATGGCTTCGCCGGTCGGCGGCCAGCCATTAATTCCGGCTGGTAAGCCCCTTAACACATCTGCCCAACCTCCTACAACAACTACAAACAATTCCCAGCCCTCAAATCCCACAAACGAAGCCATGAATTACGCAAAAGCTGTGAACCCTACTTCAACGACCACTGCCAAGCAGAATCGAGCCGCTACAGTTGAACCAATTGCTCTTCGTCTATCAAAATCAACGAATTAAACTTACCCTAGGCGATTGTAATGGAGTGATAATGGAGGAGAACTAGAGAATTTGGGTGGGAGGAGAGGTATGAATCGTGGGTTGAGGGAGAAAGAGTAAAGTGTATGCAAAAAGAGAGAGAACGTGGTTAGTCAATTTTACTGTGATTATGTGAGAGAAAAGACTAAAAAGGAGAGAAAAAAATATTATTTAGCATATATGGTGCCTTAAATGTAGGATGTAACTATAATTAGATATTTGGCTATAAAGTATAAAAGGTATCTATAGGATGTAATATTTTAAAATGGTATTTATTTAAAATAAATAGGGTACTAAGATTTTCCATAGGGTGTAAAAATTCCTTCTTGAAACCAACTTATGATCTTGTTTGTGCTCATAATTTGAAAGCTCATTTATACTTGCTTGAAGGGTTAGTCTTCTTCTTCATTTTGTGTTTTTTTTATTACTTTAATTATACTATTTGCTGCATTTTTTTTTTTTACAAACTTTGTCCCTTTTTCACATAATTAACAATTCAAGAATTTAAATTAAAAGCCCGTCCAACAATCATGGTAGATGGAGAAAATAAATTGCATTGATAATTACAAAGAGATTATATTTATCAAATGAAGAAAACATATTTACTCATTTTAAGATACTCAGAACTAATCTATTAGTACATTATATACGTAATTTTATAAGTTTTATTTAGTATAATAAATTTTAATTTAAGTGAGAGTAATTTTAGATACTGCAATACTTATTGGTTAAGATCTCTAATTAATAATTGTAAGACATCTTTAGGTGACGAACATTATTTATCGTTACAAAACTTGATCTCATCTTTAATCCAATCTAAACAAAATGCGTGCCACGATTATTACATCCTTCATAATTCGTTCTATAATTTAGTGCTATCACATTATTTTATATTAGGATATTTTCCTATATCAGATTCAAACCACGAAATATTAATCTTTTCATAAGTTTTAGAGAACAAGATTGTTAATAAGCGTTAGATTAATCATTTGCTATTTAGGCT